TGGAACCAGGATATATCAACCAATAGACACAAAGCTATTTTCCCCTTCAGCGACAGAAATTCTAAATGGAAATCAAGTAGGGGGTCCTCAATTTGAAAGAAATGAAAGTATCTGTTTCCTTATCAGCATATTTTAAGAAACAAAGGCAAGATAAGGGTCAGTTAAAGGTGGTGAAAACCAGTTAGTTACCAGAAGTAGGAGATGGTGTTAGAGATGTGTGGGAGGGGCTGAAAATAGAAAGCCAATGCTGAAGATCAACCAGTCATCATTCATAGCACCCCAGCCAGGATCTTCAACCCTTCACAGCAACTAGGGAAGTCAGAGAACACAAAACACTAATATAAACCTTGCTTTGTGATAATCTTCTAAGGAACTGGATTAGGAAACCGACAAAAGGGTTTGGTTACAGTACCAGAAAAAGCTAGAGCTTTCTAGCATCTGACCCTAGATGCAACTAGGCACATAAAGACATTTCTGTCCATCACGGACCACGTAAATAATGGAATCCATATACAGTGGAGGCCAGAGCAACAGGATATACTATGTAGCCTAGTTGTGCAGTAGGCTATACTACCTATGATGTTTGAAGAATGATGAAATTGCCTAATGACTCATTTCTCAGAAGGTATCCCTGTTAAGGCCACATGTGACTATATCTGATAAATAACCACACTCTGCACAGGGGTCCATGCCTTCAAAATTGTTTCCAAGTACTGGGGCCGGCCCGGTGGCGCACTGCTATAGTGCGCCGATTGGGAAGCGTGGTGGCGCTCCCGCCGAGGGTTCGGATCCCACATACAGACCGGCCGCTCACTGGCTGAGCGAGGGGCGGGAGCAACACCGAGGGTTGCGATCCCGTGGCCGGTCCTGGCCCGGTGCGGGCGCGACACTGAGGGTTGTGATCCGTTGCCGGTCACGAAAAAAGACAAAAAGGAAAAAAAAAAAATTGTTTCCAAGTACCCTCCATCTATCAAACAACTATTAAATGAGCAAATTTTCTCATCTGTAGAGGCACCGGAGGTCCTTACCAGACAAAGTTCCTTGAGAGTAGCAGCTATGATTGTCTGTCCATTTTTATATGTGGAGAATGATTAGGTACCCAGAATACCTGCAAGTTCCTCTAGCCCAGTGCTGACCAATAGTACTCTGTGATGGAAATATTCTGTCTGCCCTAATAGGGTAGACACTGGCCACATGTAGCTACTGGGCACTTGAAATATGGTTAGTGTGTCTGACAAACTGAATTTTTCTTTTATTTAAATAGTCATCTATACCTAGTGGCTACATATGGACAGCACTGCTCTAGACCAAGAATTGCAAATCAAATGTCCACAGGGGTCAGCCAGGTAGTGGAAGGGAGAGGAGGCCTTTGACAAACTTGGAACATAAGCTGCTGACTGTTGCTGTGTATGAACTTCTAGGAAATTCAGGCTGGTGTTGTCAGATTGTCTGATTTTTCAAATGAAGCCAAAAATCTGGATTTTGGCATCCAATTTATAAATGTTGGCAAGTAAATTAAAAATCTAAATCACTCTGTGGACCAAACAATATGTTTACAGCAATATCTGTCTTGCCAGTTTGCAACTTCTAATCTATGCCAACCCTTTCAGCTCAAAGAGAAGGGCCTTATTCAAGGCCACTCTGCTGGTCAGTAGGATATCCAAGATTGAAACCCAGGCCTGATTCTTCTTTCTGATATCCTTTCCACTATATTATGAGATTGACCATAACTGTGATGGTGTTGGCAGCAGCAGCAGGGACAAAAGCCCCTTTGTCAGAAACTGCTGAATTCCATGGCTGATACCTTATGAACACAGTGTTCCTGCCCAGCTATAACCACATGTTGGGCTGCACAGACAAGGCTCAATACTAGGAGCCAGGAAGGCACAAAGAAGAAGTAGTTCATGGGGGAGACAGATATGTAAATGAACATTTATCAGAAAAAGTCAGGTTTTCTATAACGAACACGAATTACTTGTGCAAAAGTCCAAAAGCATGGACAGCTGGGAGAGGAAGGGAGGGAAGAGGTTTGAGTGAGGATGAGTAGACACTAGTAACTGGGTGGATGAGTATCACTGATTTTGAGGGTGGGTTCCATTATTCACGGATATTGAGGGGCCTCCTCCTTCTGTCTTTGAGGTCTTGTCTGTGTCAAGAATTTCCTTTGCTGTCTTTTCCTTCTCTGGGTAATCTCTAAATATTAAAAGCCCTAAGACGTTTACAGACCTTCCTCTTTTATCTACACCCTCTAGGAATAAGTCCCCATATTTATCATCTCTATGACTTATATCCGATTATGACTTATATTCAACTTCTTGACATCTTCACTTGGATTAATAGACTTATCAAATTTAGTATGTTCAAAAGAAATCTAATGATATTCCCTTCCAAACTTTTCCCTTAAGGAGTCATCCTTGTTTCCTCCCTCTCTCACACACTTCACATCCAATTCGGCAGCAAGTCCTGCAAGCTCTACCTCCAAAATATATTCTGAATCTAATTCTCTCCATTTTCTTTTCAACACTATTGTCACCTCTCCCTTGTTCTACTGCAACAGCCTCTTAACAGGTCTGTCTACTTCCACCATTCTCTATCCAACAGCCTGAGAGATTTCTTAAAAATGTAAATCAGGTCAAGTCACTCCTTAAAATCCTCCGGTAACGCAATAACCAAACCCTTGCATTGGGCTAAAAGGCTTTGCTGAATCAGGCCCCTGCCACTAACTTCACCGAAGACCACTCTACCCCTTGTTCTTTGTGCTCCAGCCACATGGCCTTTTCCTGTTCCCTACCTTTAAACGTTTCCAACTGGCTCCACCTAGAAAGCTCATCTCCTATCTTCCCTCCCTTCTCGGATTCCCGCAAAATCGTGGCCACCTTTGAACATCCTCACCCGATTTAGAGTGGCCCTCCCCCCATCTTCTACCACTTCACCCTGACTTTGGGGCATCTCTCACTTGCGGATATATTCTTTATTGATTTACTGGTTAACTCTCTCCTGCACTATAAAGACAAATTAAGGAGCAAGGCCTCCGTCTTATCCTCAAGTTTGCCGATCGAAGGAATTACGAAGCTGGTTCTCACTGTCCGAGAAAATCTCCGTTCCTGTTCGGGGCCTCCTTTACGTGGACATTACCCAGCCAGACGCCCCTCGCCCCGGAACTGCTGCTCCCACCTCCCATTTGCATTCGGGGCTCCGAAAGATTCAGAAAAGTCTCAGATGGACCCCAAACCGCACCTCAGCGTCTCCAAACCAGGCCTCCCCTTCCTGGCTCGCGGGACACTTCCCTGAAGCGGGTTACTGAAGCCAGTGGCGACAACACCGAGCCGTCCTCATGCGGCTAGGGTCACACAAGCGCGTCTCCTAGCAACGGGCCCCCCCGCCCCCGGGGAGCCGACGCCTTCCCCCAGTCTCGGCGCCTGGAGTCGGCGTCTCCATCCCTTACACTCACTCTGCGTCAGTCCTGCCTTCCCCCACCCACAGAAGCGCCGCGGCCCTCGGCGGGCCGGGAGGAGGCGGCGCCAGGAGCCCGCAGAGCTGCGGCCGACGGAACTCGGGCGGGCCCGGTAGGCCAAGCGGACCAAACCACCAGGCGGGCCTCTGTGGGAGTACTAGTCCCAGGTCAGGGGCAGTCTCGAGTCTCCCTGCACTTCAGACGCTACCCCACTCTCGGCGGCACCCAACGATATAGCCTGCCTCGTCCTCTCCCTGTTTTCCCTTTACCCCTTTTGATAGCCCCCCCGCCATTCCAGTCAAAAAGGTGGTCCAACCCCGCTCCTCCCGACTCCACCTCCCCGGTGGTAGGTCTTTGCCCTTACTTGGCGACGGCTTCGTCCGTCTCTGCGTGCGTCGTGACGCAATCACCCGCCCCTTCCCTCCCCGCCCAGCTCCCGTTCTCCCTCCTGGAGCCGGCGGCCAGCGGGGTTACCGGAAGTGATGATGCAGGAGGAGATGGGGGGGCGGGGCTTCGGGGCGGCCG